TATTGTAATATTACTGATTATGAAAGACACCATAGCAGTAAATCTTTCAATTTAGTGGAGCCGGGGTATGCTAACAGACTATCAGTCAGAACGTTCACTGCATTAGGACGTAAGTGGATGGATTCAGTTGCAGTCTATGAGCTATAAAATAGCAGTCCAACCTCAATCTCGGACACATTCAAGCACTTAAAACCAAATCAACCTGCGTTAACAAGCAAGTCTGGCCATCTTAAAGGGGACCTGTTATGCAAAATTCACGTTTGAACATAAATGTGTGTCGGGAGTGTGTGTACACAACCACCCTATAATGGTAAAAATCCACCCCACTCCTCTTTTTTAATCCCCACAAATCATAATCAGTGTTGTTGATAAGCCGTTTGCAGATTTTACCTTACGTCACACATGTTAGGCCCCACCCACGACTGCTGACAGACTCCTCCCTATTAGCTTAGCTCCTCCCCTCAGTGATCTGAACACAGTCCGCCATGTTTATCTCCTCGCCAGAGCATTTAACAACAGCATTCAAGTAAGATATGTATTCTTATCAAAACTGCTAATGTTATTCAGTCAAGAGCAGTGAGTGATTTTCTGTATTCTTTTGTTGTTTGATTCATATTGACAGCATAGCATTAAATATTGTATATTACGCTGCTTTCACTTTAATATACAGATCTAATATACACATGTGATTTTTTTTCCCTACTGTTTATATTCACAGACATAACCGACTGTGTTTTTGACATGACCTTGAGTGTATTTTACAGGTTAAGCGCAATAAGAAGTGAAAAAGGACTTAGTTTAATACTGAGGTCGCTCCGTCTGACATCCAGCTTTCTGTGCGCTTGCTTCGGATGTGTGCGTTCAGAAAGCCATACATCAGAAGTTTAGATTGATATGGCTTTAACACATGCAGATAATAAACTGTCATGATGATGAAGAACTGCAAAGTCACGTGAGCGTGACCGCGATAGAGATGATTGCCAAAAACTAAAACAACTGTTTGGTTTTGATTGAGTATTGGAGGCGCCAGCTGTAAAGGCTCCGCCCTCTTCTGGAAAAAGGGGCGGGGAGCAGCAGCTCATTTGCATTTAAAGATACATGCACAAAAAAACGTTTTTCGTTTTTTCTTTCACTCAAACATGCTATACAACATCGTATAATAAATTATCTGCTTGGTATTTTGAGATGAAACTTCACAGAACATTCTGGGGACACCTGAGACTCTTGCTTCTGCAAAAATGCTTTTGTAAGTTCAACAGGATATTCAATTAAAAAGGGGTTGAAATTGTAGAGGACTTGGTGATTTCATCCAAATAAGAAAGTTGTTTCAGAAGCATTTTGATGGTTATAAACACCAACATAAGAATTGAGAAAAGTAAAACACGTAACATAAATTTATAGTTAAAATATAAAATTAACAAAATTAAACTATAATAATTTTAGTAATAATAAAAAAATTTCATGGTATGCTAATTTATCAATTGCTTATTTTTATATTCATTATTTAAACTTTTGCAAACTGTTTAATTGTTTAAATTTAATATTCATTCATTAATATTACTGTGAAAAGCCCCAATCAAAAACATTATTGCTTTACACAATAATATAGTCCACAGAAATCCAAAGTAGAATTGATGTCTTTCCAATCAACCATTGATGCAAGTTATAAAGGGTGGGGCTTCTCCTGTATCTGGCCAATAGCAGATGGGGGCGGGGCACAAGGTGCAGAAGGAGTGTCTGGGAATCCAAAGTGAAAAACCAATTCCATTTGATGGCAAAATCTCAGACTGTATCTTTAATGGTGCAAAGAATTCTTGTTGTTTTATGTTTTTCCCTGATAGTTAAAGCAAAGAGAGAGCAGCAGTACTGCAGCCCACATCTGTGCACTGTACTTGAATGCCATCAAGTGGCTGCTGGGCCTTTTTTCCTCCGTCGTGACGTCATCCATCCTAAGCTCCTGTGCAAATGTGGCATCCTCGCCATAAGCCATTCTGTTTGCTTACAACCACACGCAAATCTGAAAAATGAGATAAACAAGACGCTTTCTCACGCTTCTGTCAGAAAGGGCTGGGGTAATTTTAGAAAGATAATCTCTCTAAATATGATTAAAGATTAGACCACAAAGAACCATATCAACTCTGAGAGCTTCCGTTTGGAGCAAAGAACAGAACGAATGCTTTCGGTTTACTGCGAACAGCATCCGGAAACTTTATAGTGCCAGAATGCTGAGGTTCTTCTCTACACCTTTTTTTTTTTTTTACCGTACATCGCCCCGAGGATCCAATGGGAAATCCACAGCCAAATGCAACTTCTAGAGTAAATATAAAAACCAGCGGGAAGTAACAGATTGTCAAGGTGAATTAACAAGAGTTTACACTATGTTCCCCGATGAATACAAAATGGCAGAACTGTGTAACGACTCTCTTTTCATTAACTAGACGGTCTTCTCCCTTTCATCAAGCTTCACGTCTGATAGATGTGTGTTTTGGGTCGTAACAATGAGCCGGGATAATCGGAAGGCTGTGCTTTTATTCACCTGCTGTGGTTGGAAGGCTGTGGAGTTTAATTCCACATGAGAATCACCTGCGAAGATGGAAAGCGTAATTAAGTCGGTGGGATTGATTAGCGCCTCGTTCCGGTATTCCCTTTGTTTTCTTGCGCGTTCCTCAAGAGCGGACTGATTTATTCTGGGAGTGGGGAACCGTTGGACTTGAAATATGGGCGTAATTAACCGCTTACACCGGGCTTGACTTTCCCAACTGCCTAAATAACCGCCTTTCCTCCTGGTCTGAGGACCCGACGTCTTTCTCATCATATGCTGTTCATGCAGCCAGCCATAACAAGGCCTGAGAAGAGTGGAGGAGGCCTGGTGTTTTCATGAGATCTTATAGCTATAGGCTTACAGCAGACTTTAAAGTCGACATGAAAGGGAAGTTGCGATTGTCTTTTCTTCCCTGTTGTGACGTATATCCGAGTGAAACGGCTTCTCGAACAAAAAGAAATGAAGGGCGGGACTTGATTGTGTCCATGGGGAATTGATTGGGTGGTGGTGGTTTGCTATTGGTGGATCTCATTTGAGTGACAGGTGGTCCCGCCCTCGCGCCAGTAAACGTCATCAGAGAAGAGAAAAGATGTCGCCGCAAGAGGGAGGGGAAGTTATTTTGATTAAAGATTCAAAAATAAGAATTGTCAATTTTGATGTCAACCTGTTAACTTCTACATGATGGATATTGTAGTTCTAGACTAAATGTGAGCAGGCATTTACTAATCTCACAAAAACCAATCCATTGTCCCTTAAAATTAATAAAAACAGTGAAACGTAAACTCAGAATATTATGCAAACCTACAATAAGAAAAAAAAATAGGTTGTCCAACTTTCCCCAACAACCAGTTTGTTGTCATCAAGAGTAATCATTTTAGTTGTTTATCTTGAGAACAACTAACAACTAAAAGTTTCTTAATCTGGGTTTGGAAATTGACATGCAAAAGTTGTTATCCACAATCCTTTGGCTGCAAAAATACATTTGGCGAGAAGCTGAAAATGACAAAATGTAGAAATATGCATGTCACAAAGTAAGCCTTTTGTAGCATTTGAAGCAGAAAGCTGGAACTGCTTCAGAGATTTTTGGATACAGAAGACATGGACTCGAAGAATTGTATTTTCACGACTCTCTAATACCCAATACGGTTCCCTTGATGTGTAGAACTATATGGTCAGCGCAGTCATGCAGAAATATGAAACAAAACCAGATTAAACCAGCCAACCTTTGAATTTTTGAAAGCCAAGCACTTGGCCTCTCTTAAATGGAGTTTCAGACTGCTTTAATAATACTACGTTTCAGAAACTGTTATAAATGGGAAAGATGGATGATTCTGAGAAAGTCCTTGGATCTAAATGCTTCAAGGATTCTCCCCATTTTTACATTTTGAAATGTTAATGAAAATAAACGCTTACCTTTTTGCATACATTACCATGCATTTTTTTGGTTATGAATGGGGAAAAAATCCCATATCCGGCTAGGTAGACTTTTTTGTGTTCCTCACACCCTTGCTGTTAATCAGCAAAACCATAGAAAAGCATGAATATGTATTTATGGTAATTAATGCTTTCCTGAATCAAACTCAAATAGCACAGCACTGAGAGTGTAGTGCTCCATTAATTTGCATTATTCAAATGCATGCACAACATTTACATTGTTGTCATTTTCCAAGAAAACACAGAAGTCGGGTCATATATTCCAGGACGACAAATACAGTAAACAAAATTAGCCTATTTAGTACTCGCTGTTGATCGTCACATGACCTGACAGTTAAGTTAAATGCTGACAGTAGCAAAATCCCTTTTGTATCAGTGCTGTCTTGCAATTCCCTGTTTCTCTTTCAGTGCTTTTGTTCTGAGTAAACCCATTACTCTCTAAACCCATTGTAGCCGTTTCAGAATCGTCCAGCCTAAAGTTTTGAAGCACTTTCATTCACTCTCTGGCTAAATGTCAAATGGCTTCCATACATCATTATGTAAAATATATTTTCAAGAAAAAGGCACATAAAAAATATTTTTATTAATCTCATGAATTATTAATTAATTAATGATAATTTTCAATCTTTTATTGGCCTTGAAAAAAAAACAGTCATGAGAGTCCCTCTATGATATAGTTTTCTCTTTTATTTGGTACTACCACATGACTTGCATGACAAACATTTAACAAGGAGTTAAACAGTTTTGTTAATATACTTTTTTTAAATATTCTTTCTCAAAATATTATGCAAAGCTACTTATGGGCTTTCTTTTCAAGAATTTATTTATTTGTTATTAAAAAAATCTTCATTGTCATGACTTTTTTGACTTTATGCCTCAAAATATTACCCTACATTTTAATTCAGAAATTAAAAACATGATCATCTTACAAGTTTAGGGCATTTTATACAGGTATGAAATGCATTTTTGAAATATTTTAAATAAATGTAAAAAAAAAAAAAAAAAAAGACGTGCGCTATGTCACTTACCCACATACTCTTGCCTTTTGATGTTTAGGCGGAAGGTATTGAAAGAAAAGGTATAAAAGAAGTCATGTGACACATCTGATAAATTGCACTAATAAAAAGGGTTATTGCCCAGGCTGTTTCTACCTCCCCAAGCAGTGTTTTTCATCTCCCAACCTCTAAATAACACACAGCACACATTCCACGACACAGCACGACTATTACTTGCAAATGTATCATGACGCAGTTTGATCAACGGTTAAATGTAGCCCTTTATGGCATAAATATTTCATACGGCTCTTTATTAGCAATATGGTGCAAAACTGGTTCCATTTCTCCTGTCATTTTTGCGAATAGGGTCTCAGCCACAGGTGGAAGGGTCATCGTTTCCTGATTCGCACCTCCTTCATATCTTTGATGCAACAGGAACGGCTAAAGCTTCGGTGAGCATGATTGATGGAGGTTCATTTGTTGCCTAAGGCTTGCTATGAAGGGCCAGCATTAGACTGAAGCTGAAAACCCAGCTGACAGATGAGGCCATGACTGTTGTGACCTTCCCGGACGTTGATATTTCATGCCGAAATCGGCACTGTCTCCACCGCCGCCTCCTCGCAATCCCATTCCGCATTCCAATTTGAGAGCTGGATCTGAGGGGGAGCGACGTGGCAAAGTGTGACAGTAGGCAATTACAGGACTGAGTTTACGCAGGTGAGATTGGACCATGTATAGCTTCAGATCTATGACTGACAAAAACAACGAAAGTTGAGTTGAAAGACAGGATGACCTTTTGCCTCGAAAGGTCATCCTGTCTTTCAAATCAACTTCGGCATGGAAAATATCACTATACATCGAGCCTTAAATGTTGAAGAAGCTTGTGTTTCCATGAAAAAAAAAAAAGAAGTAAAGTTTAGTTTGATTATAGCCTTACAGATCTCACATTTAGCCAGACAAAGAGCTAACTAGCTAATAATGCTAATGGGAGCCAAATGCTAATGCGAGTCGCCGCTACTCTGAGGGACCGTTTACACGGCATCGTTTTCAAATAAAAACTTTTTGTACGTTTTGCCCGTTCATTTACATAACAACAGCGTTTTGGGAGCCTGAAAACATAAACTTTTGAAAACAGGTTTCAAAGTGCAAGTTTTTGAAAATGATATGTAACTATGTAAACTACAAAATTGCTAATTTTGTTAAAATAGTGACGTCATGCGCATGTGTATTATGTGTTCAGTCTGTAGACGGGTTGTGTTTCTTTACAAAGTGGCATCGCCATCTACTGGCCTGGCATGAACAGTGTGTTTAGTCGTTTTGTGTGCGAATTCGTGTGAACGGGGATTGTTTTGACAACGTTGTCGTCTGTTCGTGGAAAATGCAAAGGAAAAACTTTTCCGTTTTTAGTACATCGCTGTCGTGTAAACGTCCCCTTTTTATGTTATTTTGACAAAACAACACCAAAATTATGTTATTTTTGTCTGCTACAAATAAAGAAACTTGGTAAATCTCACAACATGAAGTAGGGAGGGATTTTTGTTTTGGATTTCTTAGTACACAAATGCTTATTGTTTTATTATGCTATTGTTTAAATACCTATAAATGTAACGCAAATTACTTGATCGAAAAAAATACTTGGAAAAAGTATAATTGTATGTATTAAGGTGCTGTCACATTTACTGTTGTTTGGCTCATTTTCATGGCTGAAATAGTCATATAAAAAGGAATCCACATGATCTGCAATTTCGCATGGGCAAAATATTTCCAATCGTGGATTACGCAACCGGTTCAAGTTGGTCACATGGATTCTCAGCGTTGACCAATAGAAAGCTACTTTTGTAGACCATGTTAGCATCACCCTGATTCCCTCGACAAAAACCCAATTGGACTTTTTCCATTGGCTTTTGGATTATTGCCGAAAATAAGCTCTATGACCAACAAAAGTTTATGATTCTTACACGTTTTGTTCATCATGGCAAATGGACACAACTTTTATGAACTTAGAAGCCTAAAAACAAATTAGCAAAAGTAAAAACCTAAACATGGTCTATAATCAAACCACATCAAGGTCACATGACTTCAACATCACCACCATTAAGCTACCAACAACTTCTTTAGTCTTATTTAAAAAACATGTTCCCTGAAAGTTTGTGGATTGGATTGCGGATCCAAGACTGTGGTTATAAACACAATGACGTTGTGAAAGCGGACTAGTGAGTAGTTTATTTGTTCGGCGTGATGATGTTTAATGCCCCAGACACCCTCTGTAGTCCCACGTAGACACTTGTTAAAAAAAGCTTTTTTCAAGAAAAGAATAAGCATTTAAAAAAAGGGTATTATAAGGGTATTGTGTTTTATGTCATAGAGTAAAATGTTAAAAAATACCTTGAGCTTGTGTTCACCACAGACCTCATTTCAGGCATTTAACCAAAAACCCATTCAAAAAGGCATTGCGCCTTTAGGACGATGGAAACGTAAGTGCAAAAATGTGAACTCGTCTTCGGGTTTTGGCCAACAAAAATACGTCATCCCTCCAGCACTCTATACTGGCATTAGTCAATGGACCTTTTTTTGACCTCGAATGTTGCCAAATGTGACTGCACCCTTAAGGCCTGTTCACACCGGGACGAATTTCGCACGAAATATTCGCCGACGTTTAACGCCTCGTGACTAAACAAAGGGCGCCAATGTGAGTGTGCACACTGACGTGAAAAACGCCAGGCATAAAAGCGTCATTTTTTAAAAAACGCCTCGGGTTCGTTTTTTTAGTTTGAAGCGCCGCGTCAAAAACTATCCGACCAATGAGATTGGCGCTTTTGCTCACGTGTCTGGAGCTTCTAAAGTTACAGTAAAACACAACTTGGAGGCACTCAAACACAAAACGGTCTTGCCGAGCACACATTCGTAACGGCGAAGAAGATATACGCCAAGTTGCGTCTACACTGCCGGGAAGAAATAAGACGAGGAAGATGCAAGGCAAGATGAATGTAGAGCCGCTGGTCTCGTTGGTGTCGGAACATAAAGAACTATATGACAAACGCGACAGCGACTACAAAAATCTTGATAAAAGAGAACTGTTATGGAGTGGTATTGCTGAGCAAATAGGCGCCATCTAATGTCAGGGAATGAATTTGCATGTTCACTCGGCTCATCGTCAGCGAAAATCGCTTGGGTGTGAAGACAAAAAACACGTTGAAAAACGCTGGCGAATAACGCGCGCCGATATTCGTCCCGGTGTGTACGAGCCTTTAGACCTACATACTCTAGCATGTGAAAGCCAACACAGTTACTAATGGTATTACAAACATCCTAATTCTCCTTGATCTAAGTTCAGCATTTGATACTATCTTTCATGAAATTCTTATTTCTCGTCTCTCTGAAACCGGGACCAGGGGTTCTGCTCTTTGCTGATTCATTTCTTATCTCACTGATAGTATAGTATCACCATGCAAGGGTATAGTCCTCCACAATTACACTGACACAGGGTGTTCCACAGGGCTCAGTTCTTGGTCCATTACTTTTTATCATCTACAAGCAGCCATTTGGTGATATCATACGCAAGTATGGACTTCGTTTTCATTGTTATGCTGATGTTGACGTCCAAATCTATTTTACCACACCCTCTGATATTTAATCTCTGCCTGAGTCACTCTGCGTGTATTGGAGAACACTGGATGTCCCCGATCGTTCCTAAATTAAAATACAGCAAAACCAAAATAATGATGATCAGCTACACCGTACCTGTAAATAGAATGGACCTGTCCTTTGACATATATGGGGTTCTTGTTAAACCCTCCTCCCCTTAACGTAATCTTGGTATTTTATTTGATTTCTCTCTTTCCTTTGCTTCTCATATTGCTTTGTTGTTAAAAACTCTTTATCACCCGAGTAATATTGTCTCCGTTCCTCGCTCAATCTGGCTGATACAAAAACCCTTGTTCATGCACTAATAACTTCTCGTTTGGACTACTACAATGCCTTGTTAATTGACTTACCAAAAAAAAAAAACATTAAACGGCTACAGTATGTTCAAAATGCAGCCACAAGAGTGCTCACCTAGATTAGACGTAGTGTTAACATAACTCCCCTTCTCCATGATCTTCACTGGTCTTCGTACATCTATAAAAATAAAATGTCTTATTCTTTTTCTGTTAGTGAAGGTTGTAAACGAATTCAAAAGTTAGCATCCTTGCTAACCTCATCATTGTGAAAATCTGTAGACAGAAAAACAGCTGGCGCCAATGAGGGATGGAGCTGCAGCGATGTTTTTCTGGAACTAAAAGATGGCCATTTTTCATTTCCCCTCAAGCAATTAGAAGCCTGTTTCCTCTAACCTGTAGAAAGTTGCTGACCTGAAACACAAGTCTGATTAATCAGTACAGCTGCACACATACGTAATTAGGTCGAAAAGAATGTGTGAAACGAGACCAGATGAAATCAACCATCTGTTGATTGTGTTTGATGCTTATGAATAAGTAGTTTCAGCAACACTGCGAGAACAAGGAATCTTCTGTTACCAGGCAACCTGGTCATTGAGCATTCTGTGGACAGACCAACATGAAAAACGTAACTGTAGCCTGCAGATGTGTTCCCGAATGCCGCCGGCCGGGTTTCCCATTGGTTCATCTGTAATGGTGAATCAAGTGTGCAGCTGCCGCCAGGTACAAAGCTCTCCTGGTTTGTTTGTCCAAGAAAAGGGTCATTTTTCAGCCCTACGGATATGATAAGGCCATAATTATAAGTCAAGATGTGGGTTGTCAGATTTTCCTCCTGTCCGAAAGATGAATAGCCTTCCAGATCACTGCTATGCTAAGAGCCCCCGTTCAATCCTCAGTCTACAGTCATGGTCCAATTAAAATGGTATTTACAGATTCCTATATCTAGGAATAGTCATAACCATCCTAAAGATCTGAAGAAGACAAGTAAGATAAACTACAGCTTTCGGACAGCTTCCAGTCTGGATGTTATTAAGGGAACAAACAAACTATCTGTCTGTCTGTCTATCTGTCTATCTATCTATCTATCTATCTATCTATCTATCTGTATGTCTGTCTGTCTATAGTGTTATGAATGCTTTGGCAATGTAAAGATTTATTTCACCATGCCAATAAAGCTATTTGAATCTTGAATCTTTAGATAGATAGATAGATAGATAGATAGATAGATAGATAGATAGATAGATAGATAGATAGATAGATAGATAGATAGATAGATAGATAGATAGATAGATAGATAGATAGATAGATAGATAGATAGATAGATGGATTGCATATTGGTTTCCATACTCTTCTGCTGATATTTAACCCTTAAACAGGCAAGAGTGGAAAATGATGAGAAAAAAATAATTTCATGTAATTTTGGACTTAAGTAAAACACATCCAAACGAATTTTTTAAATATTTGATATATTTTGTATTTTATGAGTTGTAACTCCCAGTACACATTGCCTGATTAGGGTATAAAAAAAGGACCAAGTCATAAATCTGTTAACTGTTAATGGCCCACTTGCCACTGCATGTTTAAAACAATTACATCCTATAATTTACCTGATCTAATGTTGACAAATTAGATATCATTCGTAAGCTTACGAACTCAAGATTCAGAATCTGTGAATTCAGCCTTTTGAAATCAGACCTTGCATAAAAATAGTACTTTAAATGATTTTAGCGAGCTCCTCAACTAGTGGGTGGTGACAGGTTTTGTTCAGGCTTTCAACTACTTTATAATAATAAAAAAAAAACGTTTCTAATCTTGACAAAACGCATATCGTCGGAAAGGTCTGAGTCTCACGGTTCCATATCTGCCAAATAATTTGTGAAATTGAGACTGAAATGTATAAATTTGTTACAGAAGAATGCATAAAAAACACCCAGTGGCTATTTTTGGTACAGCGCCTAAACAAAATCTCATGGGAACTTAAATTTTGTGATATCAACTTAAAATTTGAAACACACATTGGTTAGACATATGGCTTTGATTTGATAGTAAGTTTAGAGTAAAAAATGTATATAAAATATTAAATAATATGAAATATTTAGGAGAGTACATTTGATTTACAGTAAATTTAAACTTCCATAACTTTTTCATATTTAAATATTTTTCAAATTTCATATTTCAAACCTATGTCTATATTCCAAAGGATTCTTGAATTACAACCATTTAAATTTGGATAGTGCAATGTTACGTATATTCTCAAAAAGGGGGGTGACAGTTTTTAAATATTCTTTTTTTTTGTCCATTTTTCTTGCATTTTTAACTAAGCATTGCAACTAACTTGCCTCTGCCCCTATCAGAGAACACCGGGAAGTGGTCTACATTGTCGTACCGGATGTCACCCACAGGTCTTGGTGTTGCTGGCCGCTGGATGTTTTGGTGGGAACATCATCATCTCTTAGCTTTGAGGGCCTTCCCTTCTTTTTTCCAGCATGAATGAGTGCATATGCAACTTCCAGCCTGAATGTCTTCAGCTTCTTGTGCTTTACCTCACCCAGACTCTTTGCATCTCTGCGATAAAGAAGCCATCCATAGTTTAGGGCTTTATTAGCCATCTGCCAAAACAAACTCATGTACCACCGATGGGATTTTGCAGGGGTACGGTACAAGGCCACCATTATGTCGGCCACCTCCCATGTGGACATTGTATTGTGTGTCAATGTTTGGACAGGTGACCCCAACTCGTTTCTTCTGTTCTTTAGAGAACCGCCTCACTTCTTTCACTGGACTCCCAGCTGGCTAGTGTGACGGCTTTGTTGTCAACCCATTTTACAATTGCCTCATTATCCACTCTGTAATCAAAGCTGCCTCTTCCTTGTCTCTTAGATTGTGGTATTCTTCCAGGTGGCTTCCCTTCAGCCTGTTCTTGTGAATGGTCCACAAACTGCACAGGCCAAGTGACTCATTCAGGTGCACAATAAGAGGTAGTGAGGTAAAAAAAAAAAAAAAAATGTCAAAGTAGACAACACACTCCATTGGGTTGTTGATGGTCTTGCAGAGTTCAACAACAACACTGGCTCCAAGTCCAAGCTCTTTGGCAGGTCCTTGTTCAGCGCCAAATGTGCTCTTACCAGTGTACACCCGGGAAATCGTAGACCATGCCAGAAACACCTGCACGTACAAATATCTTGAACCCCCAATGATGAGGTTTGCTGGGCAGATACTGCCGCGGAGAACCAGCCTTGATGCTCTTGTAAGGCACCATCATTTCATCAATCATCTCACTCTCAATTTCCAGAACTTTCTTTCCTTATATGTTCTAGGACTGGTCTGCCTTTGAAGAGCCGATCCTGATCTGGGTCTGATGGGGCATTGTCCTGAAATTGTATCATTCTAGAGAGGCATTGGAACCTCTTTACGGACATCACATTGGCAATTGTTTGGTAACGTTTACCCTCAGCCCAGTAATCATCAACTGATGGCATCTTCACAATACCCATGATGAGTTTCATCCCAATAAATGACCTCACTTCATTTGGATTTGTGTTAATGCTAGTTCCACGTAACTGGCAAGAGTACAGATTAGTTTGTTCGGCAATAAGTTGGAAAAGCTCTTCGTCAAAAAAACCTTGTGAAGTAGCTGCAAGAAGATGAAAGCTGATCAGGCATTCTGAATGTATTTTCATTGGCTGCTGACTGGTGCTCAAACCTTTTCTTCCTCCAGCTGCAAAAAAAAAGAAGAAATAAACAAATGTTTTAGATAATACACTAACAGTTTGATAAATTAATTGGAAATGTATTTTTTTGTGTACTGAATTATATTTGTTTCATGCAGAGGCCTCTCGTCTGCTACCATTCAGCAGAATGCATGCCTGACATGAGGAAAAGAAGTACCTAAAGTTCTTGGTTCTTTTACATTGCTGAGCTGTCACATCTTCAACCTCCTCAGCAGAACTGTCACTGTCGCTCTCTGTGTCTACCTCTCCTGGCAGGTTGACAAAAATTTCATCATCTTTATCACTTGTCTCAGAATCTGAAGAGTTTTCTGGTATCTGCTATATAACTTGCATCCTTTTTTCTCTACTCTCATTCCTTCTACCGTAAAATGAGCTAGGTGTGAAGCCCTGAAAGAAAATATCCAGTTAAAAATACTAAGATATAGTCACCTAGACATACTAATGTCGGTTTAACCTGTAAATTTTATAATTTGTAAAAAAAAAAAAATACCTCAAAATACAAAGATGGTCAAAATTAGGGTTGATCCTTTTTTATACCCTAAACAGGCAACGTAACTCATACATTTCAAAACGTGCTAAATAACAACATATTATTTAATTTTCTTCTTCAGCACCTTAAGACAATGTTCACAATTAATGTTAGCAGTATTATTATTATTTTTCCAGAAGAAAAGTAAGTTTAATATATATTTACTTACCTCAAAATCTGAATGTCCTGCACCACTGGCAGCCATGTTGGATTTAGGACAGGCTGACTAATCGATCACAGAAAACTTGAAGCAAATCATGTGACCAGCGAGACAGACCAGGCTGTGAATGAAAAGGATTTGATGGAAAAATCGTTCTTATGCCCCAAAAAAGACAATAAAAACCATGTAACTCGTGGTTCACGTTGCCTGTTTTAGGGTTAAGAATCACCTGGTTTTTATGTATTGTTTGCGATATGTAGATATATGGTCTCAGATGCCCGTTACTCACTCACCAGCTTCACTGCTTTCTGTACCTAAAGTGAGACTCCAAAGCTTTAATGTAATTTATCACTGCCAGCATTTTAACCGAGATGTTCGGAGGATGATTGTGTTAACGGTTCATTGACCTAATATATTACACAATGCCGCTTATGATACAGTGAGCCATGGTTTGTTTATTACTATTATTATTAAATTAAATCAGTCTGAATCTTTCGCAGGCCACTTAATATTGCCTTGTGTCAGAATACATGTGTATTATATTTCCTTCAAATCATCATAGTTCCTCAGCCGCCTCTGTGATCAATGAAATGTTATCGTAACATGACATCTTACGAGTTGTGCTTCCTCGAAGTGCATCTCGTCTTCCTCTCAGTATTCGTGGGGTCTAATCTTTGACAGCCAGAGCAAACAAAAGCCAGTCAATCAAAATTTCCCCGTAATATTTTATCCCTCTCCCCACTCCCCCTCCCCCCCCCCAGATTTAAACACAAGGGGTCATTTTTCACGAATGTCTGCCATGCAATCTTTATTTCTCTCCTTGCTGCTCTTGTTTACCCTCTTGGCTGTATCCAGGGCTTTCCATACATCTCTCTAACAGATAATACCTGCCAAAATCCAATTTACTGGTTTTCTCCTTCAATGTCAAAGCTTGTAGGCAGATGGCTTTGGTCTTAAGATAATAATGATCACATCTCTCTTGCTGCCGGGCCGGATTATGATGTTCGGGAGACTCGGAGGGAGGCTGGTCCAAAGCAAAGATGTTTTAATGACAGCTCTTGATGCTTCTTGAGAGGAAATAACTTCACGCTGGGGGCACTTTAACGCTTAAATAATGTAATATGGATTCATCTTATATATAGTATACTGTATGCCAGCATCCTTTTCCAGCTCGTTTTTTAGAGTCTTGATTGTTTTGCAAACTTTGAGGCAGTAATAATTCGTCCAGGCTCGTCGGGTTCTGTCTGCCGTGAACATGTTGTTTCTGTCTTGCTGGAGATCAGAGGAACTCAATGAAAGGTTGCTCCTCTCTCCTCGCTTGCTCCTGCTGTTTTTCAGACCATACGCTCAATAATTAAATAGCGCTCTATTTGCGGTGCGAACGCAAGCAGTCAGTCAAACAGGAGAGAGTTGCAGATGTCTGTAAGAGCACCTCTTTATCAGATCAGGCTTCATTAATTGTGGTCAATGTCGTTACATAATGGGGCATTTTGTGAGTGCAAAAGGATATTCAATGGGGAAAAAAGTAGGTTAGGATTTTTTTTCTAGAAATTAATCAAATCTGTCTGTCTGTCTAATTATCTATCTATCTATCTATCTATCTATCTATCTATCTATCTATCTATCTATCTATCTATCTGTCTGTCTGTCTGTCTGTCTGTCTAATTATCTATCTATCTATCTATCTGTCTGTCTGTCTGTCTGTCTGTCTGTCTATTATCTATCTGTCTGTATATCTATCTATCTATCTATCTATCTATCTATCTATCTATCTATCTATCTATCTGTCTGTCTGTCTGTCTGTCTATTATCTATCTGTCTGTCTGTCGGTCTATCAATCAATCAATCTATCTATCTATCTATCTATCTATCTATCTATCTATCTATCTATCTATCTATCTATCTATCTATCTGTCTGTCTGTCTGTCTGTCTGTCTGTCTGTCTAATTATCTATCTATCTATCTATCTATCTGTCTGTCTGTCTGTCTGTCTGTCTATTATCTATCTGTCTGTATATCTATCTATCTATCTATCTATCTGTCTGTCTGTCTGTCTGTCTATTATCTATCTGTCTGTCTGTCTGTCGGTCTATCAATCAATCAATCAATCAATCAATCAATCTATCTATCTATCTATCTATCTATCTATCTATCTATCTATCTATCTATCTATCTATCTATCTATCTATCTATCTATCTATCTATCTATCTGTCTGTCTGTCTGTCTGTCTGTCTGTCTAATTATCTATCTATCTATCTATCTATCTATCTGTCTGTCTGTCTGTCTGTCTGTCTGTCTGTCTGTCTGTCTATTATCTATCTGTCTGTATATCTATCTATCTATCTATCTGTCTGTCTGTCTGTCTGTCTGTCTATTATCTATCTGTCTGTCTGTCGGTCTATCAATCAATCAATCAATCAATCAATCAATCAATCAATCAATCAATCTATCTATCTATCTATCTATCTATCTATCTATCTATCTATCTGTCTGTCTGTCTGTCTGTCATCTATCTGTCTGTCTGTCGGTCTATCAATCAATCAATCAATCAATCAATCAATCTATCTATCTATCTATCTATCTATCTATCTATCTATCTATATATCTATCTATCTATCTATCTATCTATCTATCTGTCTGTCTGTCTGTCTGTCTGTCTGTCTGTCTGTCTGTCTGTCTGTTATCTATCTGTCTGTCTGTCGGTCTATCAATCAATCAATCAATCAATCAATCAATCAATCAATCAATCTATCTATCTATCTATCTATCTATCTATCTATCTATCTGTCTGTCTGTCTGTCTGTCTGTTATCTATCTGTCTGTCTGTCGGTCTATCAATCAATCAATCAATCAATCAATCAATCTATCTATCTATCTATCTATCTATCTATCTATCTATCTATCTATCTATCTATCTATCTGTCTGTCTGTCTGTCTGTCTGTCTGTCTGTCTGTCTGTTATCTATCTGTCTGTCTGTCGGTCTATCAATCAATCAATCAATCAATCAATCAATCAATCAATCTATCTATCTATCTATCTATCTATCTATCTATCTATCTATCTATCTATCTATCTATCTATCTGTCTGTCTGTCTGTCTGTCTGTCTGTTATCTATCTGTCTGTCTGTCGGTCTATCAATCAATCAATCAATCAATCAATCAATCTATCTATCTATCTATCTATCTGTCTGTCTGTCTGTCTGTCTGTCTGTCTATCAATCAATCAATCAATCAATCAATCAATCAATCAATCAATCAATCAATCAATCAATCAATCAATCAATCAATCAATCTATCTATCTATCTATCTATCTATCTATCTATCTATCTATCTATCTATCTATCTATCTATCTATCTA